TGGGATTTAATTACTAGGAAAATTTAAGAGTATTTCCTTAGTATTAAACATCTGTGGTCAGTAGCAGACTTGAGGGAAGAACACAATATATATATTTAATATTGGTTTATTTGAGATAGGGTTTCTCTGTGTAGTGCTGGCTGTTCTGGAACCCAATCTGTAGACCAGCCTGGCCTCAACTCAGATATTTGCCTGCCTCTTCTCCTGAGTCCTGGGATTAAAGGTGTGTGCCACCATTACCTGGGTAGAACACAGGATAGTCTGATTCCCACCAGAAGTGTATAAAGGTTCTCTTCTGGGCACCCTCATCTACATTTGCTAGGATTTGTTTACTTAATGATTACATTCTGACTGAGATGAGGTGGAATTACAATGTGACTTAATTTGCACTTCTCTGATAGCTATTGAGATTGAACATCTTATTCATACATTTATTGGCCATTTGTACTTTGGTTGTGAGCACCGGCAGCTTGTTTCACTAGCCCATTAATTGATTGGGCTGCTCATTCAGCACCACAGAACATCCCCTACACATTGAAGAAAAAATTAACACATCCAAGAGGTTACAGCAAAAAGCAGACCATGTTAAAATAGTAGCTCAGCAAATGAGGAATGTCGAAGCACCAATCATACGGCAGGAATTATACACACCTTTCAAAGGTGGCTGGATGCTAAAGGTCTCACCTCTCCAGTTCGCATACAGACCAGCAGGCGACTAAGAACAGGATCCATCTATTCCCTCCAAGAAATGCGCCCCACCATCACAGACAAAAACTTTGAGATGAGAGTGACCAAGGACATAAAGGTTGTTGGAACTAGAAAGCAAACGGGCATCAATGAATCTCCACCACCTTGGGTTAGGCGGTGTAGGTGTGGAGCTCCACCACCTTGGAGCAATCAACGGTTTCTTAACTGTAACAATAAAAGCACAAGCAATTTAAGGTTAACTTGAATGAGTTCAAAGTTTAAAGCATGCACTCTGGCGATAGGGGAGCAGGGAGTGTGTGCACATCACATGCCTGTTGATAAGAGAACTGTGTCTAGAGCGTAGAATTCCTACAGCTAAGTAGAAGTGCAGCTCGGTTAAAAACAGGCAAAGGATCTGCAAAGATTCCTCCAAAGACAGAATACAACTGGCCCACGAGCATTTTAGGAAGCTATTCAGTGCCATTAGTGATTAGCGAAATCCTTCGAAACCCTCTGCCAGGCACCATGCACCCTCTAGGACAGCTAGGATCAAAATAACAGACAATAGCAAGTGTGGAGTTGAAGTCCATTGCTGGTGGGAAAATAAGATGGTGCCCGCTTTGGAAAACAGATGGGCAATTCTTCAAGATGTTTATCACAGAGACCCCACGTGACTCAACAGATTCCACCTTATGGCCAATGAAAACATATGTCACTCAAGAACTTGCAAATGTTCTTAACAACTTTATCCAGTAGTCCCCAAATGGCCCAGATGCCCACTGACTAATGGAAGGATTGATAAAATATGGTGTATTTTTATAATGAAATATTATCTTAAAAAGGATTTGAGTTCCAATGAGCCTTGAAAGGTTTTTCTGAGTTAAAGAATGAAGCTCAATGGTCAAAAAGAATGATCCCTTTATGTGAAATCTGGGGAGATGCAGATGGATGGAAAGTTAGAAGAGTAACAGTTGCCAGGGCGGGGGGTGGGGGTACGGAGAGCAGAGAGTGGCTGCCCGTGGCTGTGAAATCTGTGTGTGGTGATAAAAATCTTCTGGAATTAGTTACCTGCTATTGGATGTACAGTCCTGTGAATGTATTGTAACCCACTGACTGAATCACAGGTTTTCAAAGGCTGCATATATGAATTGCATCTGAATGTTTCTAATGGGCTATTTTCTGTGTGCTTTTTAAAATAAATACCTTTTTTAAAAAAAAATTTGAGAGAAGGGAAGTTGTTTGATTGTTTGGTTGGTTTCGGTTTTTCAAGACAGGGTTTTCCTGTGTAGATCAGGCTATCCTAGAACTTTCTCTGTAGATCAGGATGACCTCAAACTCAGATATACCTACTTCTATCTCCTGAGGGCTAGACTAAGGTTTCACCATGACTTGGCGAAAGAGAAGTTGTAAAACACAGGATTTATTAATACAGAACATAGAGTTTAGGTAATTTAGAAAATAGGGCAACCACACAGTTCACGGCCAAAATGACATATTTAGCAATATGATATTATAAGTGAGTATGAATACATATATAAGAAAATATAGATATGTTAATTCCCTCTTATTTTGTTTTTAGTTTTTAAACAAAATGTATAATAGTAACAGCAGTAAGACTTCCAACTGTATACCCAGATCTCTTGTATCTTGCACATTGTGACAATTAAAAATGAGTTTCCTAGATGAGAGAGAGAGAGAGAGAGAGAGAGAGAGAGAGAGAGAGAGAGAGAAGGAGCCTTCAGCACATGCATTAGGAAAGTAAATCTAGTAAAGACAGTTTATTCGGTGGTGTCAGAACCTGGCTAACTTCATCGGTTGTCAGTTTGGGGCGAACATTATAGAAAGTACTCTTAGCAAGCTTATGAAGTAAAGAATTTCTAGGGAAGATGGGTCGCTCAGCATCCATGGAAAGCCAAGGTCAGAGGTGAAGGAACCTCCTTGTGCTGGGGGAAGGGGATAGTTAGACTAGGATGCTCCATTCTGTCACTTCACAGTGTCTAGCCATACTACTGCCACGGCAAACTCTGTCTCTGTATTTCTCTCATTCCCTCCATCTGATGGAGGCAGGAATATCCACAGCAGAGCTCAGGTCATGTGGAGGTAGGAAAAGGAGACCCACCTACATCCAGCTACTGTGGTATGAGGTGGGGCCCTGAAGCATCTCCCTAGGTAAGAAAGTGCCCAAATGAGAGGAGTCAAAAATGACAGCTTCCTACTAACATTTGGAATGACTAAAATTAGAACCATACTCTCTATACAAACCAAAATAAATTCCACATGGATCCAGAATTTGAATGTAAAACTGGAGATCATAAAAGCACTTACAGAAACTATGCATGCATATTTATGGGATCTTGGTTGAGGGAAATTGCTAAGCATGATGTAAATACCAGAGTGCCATTAAAGCACTGATAGAGAATATCAAATGGCCCAAAGGACCCGAGGTGTGGCAGATTGCTTGCATAGCATGTACAAGGCCCTGGGTTTGATTCCCAGCACCGCAGAAACAAGTGTAAATAAATATAGAAATAATTGCATTTAAAAACTTTTGTTGCATTTTAGTAAAAATAAATAAATAAATGTCTAACCCCACCCCTTAAGAGATCAGAATGGCAAATGCCACAATACAAGCAGGGGTTAGCTAGCCTTAGGTGACGGATATTAAAGATGGTTTTTCAACTTTCCTCACTGTGTGCTTCCCCCCCCCCCAAAAGGGGTATTTATTTTTAAATTTGGAAAGGGGAGCATTTGGGGGGTTTGGTTGATGAGACTGTGCAGCGTCTAGGTCTTCAGAGGCAAATTTAATGCTAAACTCTAGAAAAATGCAGCTAGCTTTACAGAGCGGGTCATGGCAAAGCTTCCACACCTGTGTGATTATGTTGCAGGGGTTGGAGTTTGCTCCATCTGGTGACACTTTTAAAAGGACTGGATAATTGTATGTCCCCCCTCCACACACACACACACACACACACACACACACACACACACACAGAGAGAGAGAGAGAGAGAGAGAGAGAGAGAGAGAATCCTAATGTTTTCTCTTACCTCCCCAGTGTTTTGGCTTTGGATTTGCTATGCCTTGTCTTATTTTTAAGAGAAGCCATCTGCTTAGGAAGAAACTCTTAATTCACAGCCCTGACATCTAAGGGAAAGCCAGATGCCCATTGCGTCTTCTATTGCCTTACCTACAAAGAATGAGTTAGCACAGCATTTCCGGTTCCACAACCTTTCAGTTCCCAGCCTTTTGTCCCCTCTTCTCTGGGACTCCATCTCAGTAGAGGGTTTAGCATAAATTTAGCATAAATCTAATGTCCTAGCCAAAGGGGGGGCTCTCGCTTGAAAGACAAGGCCTCCCAGAAGCCTCCACGATAGATGATGAGGGAGGCCCTTCATGGTCCAGAAAGACTAATCAATAGCCTGTCATGGAAACAGAGCAAGAGACAGCAAAGAAAGAAAAGGTTTTAAGTGTCGTGCCCCTTGTTCCTGCTCTTGGCACTTGGCTGCTCTTCTTCTGAGACAGGACTCACTATGACAGTTTCTCGTGTTAAGTGCCCTAAGTCTTTACCTTTAAGGGCCAAGGAAATGCCATTTTTCTAGCTGAGATTAGCATGTTTCAGTAGTTCTTCCTTCATGTTTAAAAGTAAACACCTCTTTGCTAAGACCATCTCCTGTTCAACGGGGTCCTAGCGAACATTTCTGGGTACTTTTCTCTCAGTCGTAAACAGCGTGACTCTGGATGCCTGTGTGTCTCAGGTGATCCCTGACCTTCCTCCTTTATGCTAATGAGGGAAGCCTGGTGCTCTTGGGCTGGAATGATTGTCAAGCAGCTGCTTCTGGTCTTAGACAACTTAGTGATAACCGTTTCCAGCCCCGTCGCTTCCCAAGATGGCTGTAAAACAGCATGAACATATGTCTTTGCGCCACACATCCCCCGAGAACCTGTGTACCTCTCTCATGGTTACATGTCCTGTGCTTTTCCTTCAGTTGATGTTGATGACAGGGAGCAGGACACTAGCTAGACAGAAGGGCAAGGTTGTGTCTCTTTCCTCTGATAGAAGCAGCAAGAGTCTTACCATGAATCTCCAGTGGAGGAATCCACAGTTGGGGCTGAGAACTGAATGCACAGTGGCCTTGGCGGGGGATGTACTGCTGCGGTGGGCTCTCTTTCCCTGGTACCCAGCCGCTGTTCTTGTAAGTGCAATGATAAAAGGGATATGTGTGCAGGAGGCGCCGCTGTGTCTGGTGCCGATCATGACCTCCATCACATCCAGGTCCAGCTAGACTCATCCCTGCCTCTCATTGTCTGTTTTCAGGAGCAGCCTATTGCCAGTTCATGGACATGCTCTTCCCAGGCTGTATTAGTTTGAAGAAAGTAAAATTCCAAGCAAAGTTGGAACATGAGTATATCCACAATTTTAAACTTCTGCAGGCATCGTTTAAGCGGATGAATGTTGATAAGGTAAGAAGCTTGCTAGTATCCCCTCAAATGTACTCTTTTCAGAATCGCTTTCGGTATTTTATTGTTTTAAAATTGTGTGTATGTGGGTTTGTACTTGTAAGCGTAGTGTCTGCGGAGGCCCTAAGAGGGCATGGGATTCCCCAAGAGTCAGAGTTACCCGTAATTGAGAGCTACCCCATGTGGGTCCTGGGAATTGAACTCCAGTCCTCTGGAAGAGAACTACCTATATCTTAGCCAGCACCCCTGTAGTAGTAAGCAAAAACGTAAAAATCTGAGACCATATCTATGAGGCATATACTGAGATATCTCACCATGTGGGGTCTGTCCATACATATACAGCAGCCCTGAGTTCCCCCATGCCTGTGAGGTTTTAGTTTTAAGAAATCCTTAACCCAGTAGCCATTAGACAAAAACCTCTTAGCAAGAGTCCTGAATGTTATAATAGTAGGTCATTAGCTTCTCTGGGTTGCAAATGAGACATTTTCTGTTTACCAGAGGCCTCAGGGTTCTTTGGATATTTTGTTCCTTTGGAAAAAACAACTTGTTAACAGGGAAACCACTCTGGGTTTGACTGTCTGGTCCAGGACATTTTCTAAGTGTCTCAGCTGGCTCCTCTGAAAGAGAACCAGGCTCTTCCTTCCTCATGGTTATGACACAGTAGTGAGCGGGTGTCTGTAATAGTGTCCAGCATAGCGCTCCTCTCAGATCCCAGCGTCCGTGAATGTTGTTTTTCTCTTTTCAAGTATAATTTTGCACAAGGTGACACAAATGGAAGTCTTGGTCCTCACGTCTTGTTCCTCCCAATAAGGGACTGAGGGGCTAAGACCTGCTGGTCTCTCAGCGAGAGCCGGGTGCTAGTCAAATGTTTGTTACTAATATGTGTTCCTTATTTAGGGCATTTCTCTTACTGGCCATGCCTCTTAGAATGAGTAAGCATGACAAGTCATGAATCTCAAACAAGGGGGAAAGAGAGAAACCAGCAGAGGAGAAACATAACTCTTTAAAAAAAAAACAGTATTAATAAAAAGAATAAATAGGCTACAGGATAGAAAACAGACACTAGGTTATGAGATAAAGGTTAAAGAAAAGTTTAATAATCCAGCATGGTTCATCACTTCCCTAGGTAAGAAGCATTCTCACCAGGATGTTGAGAAAACCTGGCTTCTTCTCTTCTAGAAATGCTTGTTTTAAATTGCACAGCCTTAACCAGGTGTTAATCCCAGCTTCTTCTAAGGCTGAAGCAGGAGGATTGCTCAAGCCTAACCATTTGAGAACATCCCAGACAGCACAAGACCCCTTCTCAAATCAAAGAGAAACGGACAATACGTTTCTCTGAAAGATCTTCATTTTTATTCCTTCTGCTGAAGCTAATCTCCAACTAGCTTTTACCCCATACGCCCAGTTGTGCGGGCTCTCCTTACTTTTTAAGAGTTGGAGTAGCTGGGCGGTGGTGGTGCACGCCTTTTAATCCCAGCACTTAGGAGGCAGAGGTGGGTGGATCTCTGTGAGTTAAAGGCCAGCCTGGTCTACAGAGCGAGTGCCAGGACAGGCTCCGGCCGTAGGTTTCTGGCTGGAACTTGCTGTAATCAAATCAGAAAGCTTTGTGCACCTTTCTATAAGTGAACACACAGAAAATGGCAGAGCTAAGAATATTGACAGACAAGTTTGCATGGCAAGAGACTGGCCTTGGCCTCACCAGCCTGTCAGCCCCAGACGCATCAGGACTCTGTGATTGCCCAAATCCCTAGAGACATCCTGTCATGTACCCGTCATGTCTGTCATACCCAGTGCGTTACAGGGCTCACTTGAAGCTTCTGTCCCCGAAACCAGAAGTCAACAGAAGTAAGAGCTGCCGGGCCACTGCCATGTAAAAGCCTCTCTCACACGTAGGCAGCGGACACATTGCTTCAGTTGTCCGTGAAGGACCCTGTGCTCCACATCCCTTACCAGTTCAGTCTCTCCAAAAGCCAACAGTAACACTCAGCAGACGTCAGCTGTGATAAAACATCCAGCCAAGTCAGCGAAGTGCAAATGGGGCAGGGACTCTTTCCCTGAGAGTCCAAGGGAAGCGAGAGGAGGGATATGGCAGCACCCGAGCCTCCAGGGCCAGCAGCAGCTTGATGGACAGTGTCCTTCCAGAAACTTCTGTTTATTTTGTTCTGCATCTTGTATCAGTTTCTGTTGCAGCTGCACTTAAATATTTTTGGAAAATCCATCACCGGTGACCCAGCTGAGCGTGTAGCCTAAGGCGCTTCCCTCACTTTTTCTTCCAAGTTATGGTTGATACACAAGGGTTTTCTGTGCCCCCCATTGTTTCTCTTGAGATTATACTATAATTATAGCATTTTCCCCTTCCCTTTCTTCCCTCCAGTCCCTCCTATACTCACCCCTCCTTGCGATCTTTCAAATTCATGGCCTCTTTTTTCATTAATCACTGTTCATTGTGCCAGAAAAGTCTCATGTAAGTTCCAAAGCGGGGAGGCAACCAACGCCAGCGTGGCGTGCTAACCCCAAGAGCACACCAGTGGTACAGATACTTTTAACAATAGGAAAAGCATGCCTGATACAGGAAACCTAGCCACCTGCTCAGAGCTAGGGAAGTCAGTGATCGTGGAAGAGAGCCCCAGCCACCATTTTCTGTTCTTTCTAAAGTGGTCCTCTTGGCTTCTGTGACATCAGTGGCATATGGTTTCCAAGGTGGCAGAGCTTTGCTGCAGGGTGAGTCTCTTCTGTTTCCATTCATGCTGTCATGCTACGAAGCTGCGTTTCCTGCACACACGCGCGCCTGCATTCTGACTCACAACTTAGTTCTGCCACTCTCATAGTTCCCGATCAGTTGTCACCCTGTGTAAAATCTAGTCATTGTGCTATGTGGGGAGAATGCTGGGAGAATTCCATTTTCCCTTAATAAAAACAATAGCAGTGCACTGAATAAGCTAAGCAATCAAGTCCACACACACACATAGACACCTCTTTTGCTTTGTCATAATCCCAAAGATTCCTACAAGAGTCGGCAGGGAATCCTGGCTGACTCTATGGTGGAAGGTTACCCTGCAAAGCTGGTACGCATGCCATGTGCCTTCTTTGTATGCTCCCACGACCCCCTTATTGAGCCCCTTCTCGGTCTCTGCACTCCCATGAGCCTTAGCTCCAGGGCCCTGCACTACATTAGTTGGGATGCTTGTTGCTCTACATTTTAATGAGCTCTGTTCCACATGACCCATAAACTCAGTATCCGTTTTCCCTGACTTGCCCCTGGTTCCTGTGTTGTTAGCGCTAATCCTAACAAGAATTTATCTTACTGCGACTGGGCCAGGGTTTTACAAAGAAGTGGGAAAGCACTTCAGGTTTGAGACAGCACAGCATCCCAGGCTTGTAAATTTTGTAGGGAGACTGCTAAACTATAAATATCCTTCACACAACAGAAGTCACCCGTTTTGTTTTCTCATTTTGTATGTTGGCTTTTCTGAGATGAGGCCTCCCTGTCTAGCCCAGTTTGATCTGAGACTCACAATCCTGACCTGGCAGGTCGCCCCCTCTCGACGCCTAAGGATATTCCTTTTTTAGTTATTCGGGAAGAATTAAATTTTCCAGTACAAGCAACTCTGTTGAATTGTTTTTCTTAATCAGGTCTTGAAATAGTTAAAATTGTGTTAATTCTAGAATACTGCTGAGAAGACAGGTAGGGAAACGGTGGTCAGGAACTGCAGGCAATGGGGCCAAAGAGACAGCTCAATGGTTAAGAGCGCCTGCTACCCCTACTGAGGACTCTGGTTCGGTTTTCATCCCCAACACCTGGCGGTTCACAGCCATCTGTAGCTTCAGTTGCAGGAGCATCCTGCAACCTCTTCTGGCCTCAGCAGGCTCTCTACACACATGGTGCACAGACAGACAAGCAAGCAAACACACATGCACATAAATGCACATAAATTAAAAAATCTTAAATTTTGTTCACAAAAGAATTGCAGACAAACAATTCTTAGGATATAATTGCACAACACTCTTAAAGAAACCTGAGATTCGTGACTTACGTAGTGACCTGACGTTGCAGGTAATTCCAGTGGAGAAGCTGGTGAAAGGGCGTTTCCAAGACAACCTGGATTTTATTCAGTGGTTTAAGAAATTCTACGATGCTAACTATGATGGGAAGGAGTACGATCCTGTCGAGGCACGACAAGGGCAAGATGCAATTCCTCCCCCTGATCCTGGTGAACAGATCTTCAACCTGCCCAAGAAGTCTCACCATGCAAACTCCCCCACAGCAGGTACGTCTTCTCCTCGTAGCGGGTGGCTCCAACTCTGCCATGCTTCAGCCTGTACCTGTCTACAGTTGTCAGTATTTTCCTACCTTTGAATGGTGTTCAGTGTTGTCTGTGTCCATGCTGATCTTTCTGTGACCCATATGTCACGAGTCTAACAAGCTTGATTTCAGGTATTAAAAAGGCACATGCTATGTCTCTGACTGTTAAGATAATACCCTGGGGATAGATTTTGTTTTCTCTCTACTTTTTCTAAAAAATTTTGAGTAGTCTATTTAGATTTTGATTAAAATATTTTTATTGCTTAATAGCTGGCAAGGCAGACCATAATATGAACTGACATGTGCTGTTAAGTGTGCATCATTTTCTATAGGCACTCAAAGGAAACCAGTGGTCACTTTTGTATGTTAATGTAGACCCTTCGTTTATTATGCATCCCTGTCCTAAAAAGGAAAATAATTGAGGATACATACCTAGAACTTTAGGAGGTTTTTTTTAAACTTTTTTGTGGATTAAAAAAAAAACTCTCTAAAATATCTTAGAAATATTCTTGCCATAAACTGCCAACTTTACTAGATAAAGTATGCACTTGGGAAATGGGGTCATGGTTATAAACACCAGCTGTCTGCTAGACCATCGACAGTGGCGTTCTCAGAAACCTTTTTCTATTCCAGATGCAGAGCCCCTTGTTCAGACCTATTACAATGCAGATTTTTTTTTTTATTCCTGCCCATCCTACTCCCGTCAGCATGGACTAGGCAAGATTAATACAGCTGCAGGTAGCTTTAGCCTTGCTTTTCCTCACTACATAGAAACTTTTCCCATCTTTTCTGCCTGAATTCATGGCTATGTCCCTGGCAATCTGTATCCCTTGGAAATCTGACTTCTTCAAACAATTTTTGAAATCTTTGTTTAAAAAAAAAAAGAATTGGCTTGGCAGTGGTGGCACACATCTTTAATACCTGCACTCAGGAGACAGAGGCAGAGATCTCTGCAAGTTCGAGGACAGCCTGTTCTATAGAGTGAGTTCCAGGATAGGCTCCAAAGCTACACAGAGAAACCCTGTCTGGAAAACGCAAATAAATAAATAAATAAATAAATAAATAAAGTTGGCGATAACAAGACCAGCGTGTATACTTCCTGCCTTGTGATGAGGTCTTCCTCACACACTGTGGAAGAAAGAATGCATGCCTCTAGGAGGTATTTAGGAAGTAACGGGCTTGGGTTTTGGTAATGGGTGGATCCTGGAGTGAGCAAGTGAGCTGCCAAGTGTGACTTCTTGGTGTGTTTTCCACACTTGGAAGAATGAGGATATTGTTCAGGAAGTACTGAGAGAGCTGGATCTAAGAAGAAAGTGTATTTAACATACTGAGTTTCAGGTTTCTTTGTAACATCCAAATGATGATCTAAATAGCGTGTGCGTGTGTGTGTATAGTTCAAAGTGTGGGCAGGAGATAAAGTTTGTATCCCCATACCTTGAAGCTGGAAATAAATACAGAACGATAAGGAGAGGGTGCCTTTAGGAATTCCTAACAGTTGCGAGTGAGTAGAGGAGGTACACTGCCCTGGAATGCAGGGAAGACGCCAAAAAGATTGGTAGAAGCTAAGGAGTGGTTTTCAGGGATGCAGAGGAAGGAGGCAGAATGATCTACAGTTTCTAACTCTGCGAGGAGTTAAGTAGAATGAAGCCTGGAAGAGTTTGCTGGATTGCTCAACTTGAAAATCATTCATGGAATGATGAGACAAGGACTGGATTAAGGAATGAGTTGGATAAAAGACACTGAGTGACTATCCAAGTCCAGTTTTGGAATGAATGAGCGCAGAGATAAAGAGCCCTGAGAACAAATCTTTGGGAGTTAGACGTATGCGAAGGGAAGACTCCTCTTTTAAAAGGATGAGCATAGGTAAGAAAGTCAAGAGACCTCAAATCATTATCAGTGTGGAAGTTGCATAGACCTAGGCTATTTTTCTTTCTTCCGCAATCATACTGTGACCCTAATTTTTTTGGCCTCAGCTCCAGCACTTCTCTTCCAAACAGAATTGCAGTATGTTGCCTTGTCCTCATTTTCTAAGAATTCCCTCATCTGTGGCTCCCAGAACAAACAGTAGGAAGTTTCTAGAAAGAGGGTCATGAATATTAATTGTGGAAATATGGTGTACAATGGAACTTGAAAAGAGTATGTAGAAAGCTGACTCCTAGGGCGTGATTAATAATCCTTTGGAGAACTGGTCCCCTGAGACACTGGGCACTGGAGTCTGCATCGCAGCAATTGAACAAGGCCACGTGGGGTGTGGACACGAGGAAGATCCAACCTCCAACAGCTTCATCAAGGATGCAATTGATTAAAAAAAAAAAAGCATTTGGTTGTTATTCAGGAGAGAGACGCTTAAGGAGGGATAGGAGGACGGTGCTCCTAGGGTTTGCTTTAAGGACAACGCAAAATCACCAGATTTGTAAGGTCAGAGAAGAATCTCTAATGAGCCAATGGTGAGAGAAAGAGTGGAGACTAGAGGACCATGACCCTGAATGTGAAGGAGCAGATGAGGTGGGGGTTTAAGGGGTTAATGGGAAAGGGAAGATGTATTTTCCTGGAGCAGAAGCGAAGGGAGAGGTTGGATGAAAATTACGCCACCAGGAGACTGGGAGACAAATTTCATGCAGTTCAAGCTGGTCAACCTACTTTTGTCAGCAGCTTTTCATCAGTTGGAATAGAGCCGAAGCTGATGGCGAGTAGAGCCGAAGCTGATGGCGAGTAGAGCCTATGCTGATGGCGAGTAGAGCCGAAGCTGATGGCGAGTAGAGCCTATGCTGATGGCGAGTAGAGCCGAAGCTGATGGCGAGTAGAGCCGATGCTGATGGCGAGTAGAGCCGATGCTGATGGCGAGTAGAGCCGATGCTGGTGGCGAGTAGAGCCGATGCTGGTGGCGAGTAGAGCCGATGCTGGTGGCGAGTAGAGCCGATGCTGGTGGCGAGTAGAGCTGATGCTGGTGGTGAATAGAGCCGATGCTGATGCTGGTGGCGAGTAGAGCCGATGCTGGTGGTGAATAGAGCCGATGCTGATGCTGGTGGCGAGTAGAGCTGATGCTGATGGTGTGTAAAGCCAAAGCCATGGCTAGCAGAGCCGAAATTGATGTCGTATTCTTAGCTGGGATTTGGGAGGCATGTGAAGTGACAGGACTCTGGTGAGAACCCAAAGCACGCTATTTCCCTTCTTAATGTTCTTTTTGTACCTGTTTCTGGTGGACAGAGTGCTTCAGTTGCATTTTTTTGAAATTCTAATAATAAATCAGAATGCTTTTCTTCTACAATCATAATGAATTATTATTTGTTTGTTTGTTTGTTTGTTCAACCTTTTTAACACTTCTACTCTTCCACCCAGAACTAGGCTACACTGGCCAATCCTCTCACAAAAGCCACAGAGGAACTTGTGCTGTTTTGACAGAATGCCATGAGCCCCAAAGAGAAATCTATGTTTTCCAAAGCTTAACCTCTCAGGTGATAAAACTTGGGAAACATAGTAAAGTCAATATTTAATAAATTTGGGGGTTTTATGTGTGTGTGTGTGTGTGTGTGTGTGTGTGTGTGTGTGTGTGTGTCGCAGAAGGTAGTGATTTCTGATACTGCTCCCATGCTTTGGTGGTGTTTATTTTTATTTAAGGAGGAATGTTATTTTTCAGGAGGCAAATTAATCATTTCCCTTTTAATCAAATGTGTCTTGAATATTAGACATTTGTGGGGCAGTAAAATTTTATTGGAGATAAATTATCACAAGACATACATTACATGTGGGATATCATTTTTAAAGGCCATATGGGAGAAAGGCCCCTAGAAATGCAGAAGGCTCTGACTTTCACCAAGTCATGCATCCAGATATTGGGAACATGGCCAAGAAAATAAGTCAAAAGTTCTCGGAAAGTCAGAGAGGTGCTGGAAAGACTGTTTATAGAATTCACGCACTTTTGTCAAGATTTCTAGGGACGTTTACAGAGTCTGTGCCTTTTTCATCGTGACATACATGTCGGAGAACATGAGGCTATCAGCTCCCAGCACATGACAGGACAGGGCACACAGCACAAACAGCAGTGGAAGCTCCACGTCTTCAGCTGGAAAGTTTGCCAGAGTTTGGCAGCCGGGATATGTGTTTTCAATCCAGCTGTTGCCTGAGTCCCCCAAGCGTGGGTGAGTGTGATGTCTCAGGGTTCTCTCAGAATTCTGTCCACAACTCTGAGCCATAATCTCTATAATGTGATTGCAGTGTATGACTTCTCCTTCACCCAAGACCACAGGTCTGACTTTTCTGTTCAAGACTTGATATGAATCAAAGTGTTGATAAAGTGGGTGATGACCTGTCTGGTGCTAGGTCAGTACATACAGCCACTATTCTGTTTCCATATTGAAACCTGGATCTCTTCTTAACTATCTGTATCCTTGGAAGTAAATACTGGCTTGTCTAGTTGGCGACAAGGGGGGACTGGCACTTTGAAAGACCTAATTAATTTTGCCGTGGCTGGATCTCTCCTCACAGATATGCCCGAGGCTGATTTAACTTGCATGCCTGGCAGTTTCAAAGCATCTTGTATGACAAAGGGACCAGATCAGAGTCAGGGAAAGTGATGAGTGTAATGCCCATGTAGTGGTACTTGAGAGGACACTGGCTAGGCCAGCAAGGAAAGAAAATCCTGCTTTTCCAGCATCCATGCTTTGTGTTGCCTCGCACCAGAGATGGTTTTCTGTATAAAATAAATGCTCTCCACACATTTGGTGCATTTTTTTTTCTGAGAACATGCTAGATTTCTCTGCCATTTCAATGCAGATTAAAAAAAAAAAAACTCTTCTTCTAAGGACTCAAGCATGAAGTTGGTTGATATCCGTATGAGTGGGCAGCTTACCTCTACTATAATCAGCTGTAATAGAACCAGGTGTGATAAGAATGAATCACCACTGTCAGGTACTAGCAATTCTGACTAAATTTGAGAAGTCGTGTTTTCAATAGATTTGGCCTACC